TGCCTTCCCTGAACCTAAGGGGAAAAAAGAAAGAAAATATCCCCCTCTAGTGGCAGAAGGCAGAATAGCAGCTTCCCATTAGTTTCTATGGACAGAAAAGAGCAGATACGGATTAAATGGTTTTCAATGCATTCCTATGGGAAATGCAGATTCGACTTAAGAACTTTTCGACTTGAGAACCACCTTCCAATACGGATTAAGTTCTTAAGTCGAGACCCCACTGTACAGTAAATACAGTAAGACTCCCCATATCCTGTGGGGCGGGATCAGTTCCAAGCCCCTCCCCGAATGTTGAAAAACACAAACAGTATTTTAATAACAATTGATACACATAGATGGTTTCTGGCTTCTTCTAGGATCTTTGCGGCTCCTCTATGTGTCTTGAATGCTACAATGCAATTGGAGGCAGGGTTTATTTCAATCAAAGCATGTGCTTTGGCCCACATGTTTAATTACTGGTTGAAATTTATTTTTGCTCCAACAGGTTTGGCAGCCTTGATATTAGCAGACATCTTCCAGTCAACTTGGAAGAGGAATCTATCTACTGAGGCCAGGCTTCTCCCCAAGTGTCCCCTTAGTGGTGGGCCACGCTAATGCCAAGACAGCCATCAAAAAGAGGATCTGGGATGTTGAGCTCCAAGAACATTTAGCAGTGCTGGACAAACTTGGTATATTTAGGAATAGTACATTTAGAATGCCTGATTATCTATTCAAAATAACAATTCCCAAATTTAGGAAAGCTTTTACATCAGTTAGGTTCAATGTACTGTACTTCCATCTAGACCACTGGTTCTTAACCTTGGGTTACTCTGGAGTTTTGGACTGCAACTCCCAGAAGCCTTCACCACCAGCTGTCCTAATTGGGGTTTCTGGGAGTTGCAGTTCAAAAGCATCCGAGTAAGAAAGGTTAAGAACCACTGATCGCTAATCGTGTGTGCCCTTGCAATGAGGAGATTGAAAGTGTTGATCATGTCCTCTTAAAGTGCTCCTTCTATCAAGATATTCAGAGAGATCTCCTCCAGCTCATACTGCAACAATTTTAAGGGAGGTCCAAAAAATTTCGTGTTTTACTCTTACTCTCAGACAAGAAATTTGATATGACTAAAGCAGTGCTGAAGTTCTGTGTGGCAGCAATGAAGTGTCACTGCTCCCTCCTTGCACGAAATTAAAGCAACGGCAGATGTTTAGTAATGGTATGTATTGACCACCTTATACTTCCATGTTTCCCCAAAAATAAGACCTAACCTGAAAATAAGACCTAGTATGATTTTTCAGGATGCTCGTAATATAAGTCCTACCCCAAAAATAAGCCCCAGTGAAGTGAAAACCCACCCTCTACCATTGTGTAGCAACCAGAAGAGGTCATGACTATATTTGAATAAGTGTAGCTTGTTGTACATGAAAAAATTAAAACATCCCATGTTTCCCCAAAAATAAGACCTAACCTGAAAATAAGACCTAGTATGATTTTTCAGGATGCTCGTAATATAAGTCCTACCCCAAAAATAAGCCCCAGTGAAGTGAAAACCCACCCTCTACCATTGTGTAGCAACCAGAAGAGGTCATGACTATATTTGAATAAGTGTAGCTTGTTGTACATGAAAAAATTAAAACATCCCCTGAAAATAGTGTAGCTTCTTGTACATGGAAAAATTAAAACATCCCCTGAAAATAAGCCTACTCTGTTTTTTGGAGCAAATATTAATATAAGACCCTGTCATATTTTCAGGGAAACACGGTTTATATTCCACACTATTTAGGATTATGAGACTGGAGGTGGTAAAAAGTTTACTGAATTGATTTACCAATCATCTCAGTCTTGTGAAACCATGGAGTTTCTATAAGATTTAGTCATGTTGCAATAGATTGTATATTTTTAATATTTTTATTTTTATGTTCTACTAATATTTGAATACCTCTGCTGGTCAGTGACCGTAATAAAGATTAATCAATCAATGGCTCTCCCTAGTGGTCAGTTCTGGTAACTTCATCTTTAGAAATACATATGTTTCTATGATTTAAAAAAAGTTTTTTAATATTTTCAGACTATGGATAAGTGAATCAGTGGGTACTGATTCTGTGGATAAGGGGTCCTATTGTACATATTTCTGAAGTTTTTTAATTAGTATTTTCAAGCAGTGGATAAATGAATCAGCAGATACTGATCCCATGGATAGAGGGATCTTAATGTATTAGAAAAAATGGGATTTGGGCATCACTTTACTACTACAGGCTGTATAAAAACCCAGAAATGACAGTGAACACAAATGATGTACTCTTCACCGGCGAAAATGTTGAGGAGCACATGATAAGGCTGTCCACTTTTACCATTTTACTATTATTTGCACTACTAATCAAACCATTGGCAAGAATTCTTAAACAAACCACTGATATGAAGGAAGTTTAAATTAAAGGGGGGAAACGTGTTATATGTTTGATGATATTACACTACGAATAACAAGCCCACAACAAGCAATTATCTACTCCACAAGAGCACATACAGGAAGGAAAGAACAGGCAACGGATTCATAAAATATAGATAGGTCACTATGCAAGACAGATGACAGAACACAGCCCACCATGACCATCAATGAAATCTGAAGAACATGCCGGATGTGGCCCGCAAGCCGCACTTTGGAGACCCCTGTGTTAGAGGAACTGTGGGCAAAGAGGTACACCAATACAAACATGGCTAGAATGCCCCAAAGTTAATGAATTTTGAGAAAAGATGGTAACAATAAAGGAAAGAATATCAGGGAGGGAATCAACTTTTGTGCTGAGTTGTTATTACTGCAAATCTGTACATTGGCTGGATGTAATCCGGCTGGATTATTGTAATGCGCTCTACATGGGGCTGCCTTTGGCAAATGTTCAGAAACTTTAGCAAATCTAAAACACTGCAGTCAGATTGTTAACTGGGACTGCTTACAAGGATCATATAACAACCCCCAAAGCAGATCCATTTGGTGCAGATCTGATTCCAAGAGCAATTCAAAGTATTGGTTTTAATCTATAAAGCCCTAAACAGCTTTATTCCAAGCTATCTTAAAGACTATATTTCTCTTCATGAGCATGCCTGGGTGTTACGATCATCAGAGGAGGCCCTTCACTCAGTCCCACCACCCTCACAACAGACAGCCTTCTCTGTTGCTGCTTCCAAACTCTGATATTCCTTCCGACCAGAGGCCAGGCTGGCCCCATCTTTGCTGTCCTTCCTCAAGCAGGTGAAGACCTTTCTTCTCAGGTGTGTTTTTCCTTAATGGGTGGCTAAGGGAGGTTTTAAAACTGGATTGTTTTATATTTTTCTTGAATCTGTTCTAGTAATATTTTAAGATATTTTAATATAATTTTATTCAATTATTTTAACATATTTCAATAATTTACTGTTTTTAGTAATATTGTGTTTTTAATTACGTAAGTTGCCTCGAGTCCTTTTTAGGAGAAAGGTGGAGTAAAAATATTTTAAATAAATAAATAAATATGACAATGAAAAATTAATTCAGAGAAATTATTGCCATCTGTGAGGATAGCAGCATGCAAAAATACATTGGCTACAGACATGCACCAAAGAATTTCAGAAGAAAATCAGTCTCTGCTTTATAGATAACAGCAAGACTCTTCCTTGTGTAGAACATGAAAAACGAATGATAAGTCTCAAAAAAACTTATGCTGCAACATTTGATGGTCCTAATGCATAATGTATCCAGGTATCACACAAGGCTTCCTATCTGTTCAGTCTAGATGTAGAACATACCATACAAAAGGCTGGAATAGATTCAGATGAACGAGGAGTGAAAATCTGTGGGAGAAACAACAACAATCAATAATTTAAAAAATGTGGATGACACCACATGACTGGCAAAGAGCAGCAATAATTTGAAATGATTACAGTGGGGTCTCGACTTACGAACGACCCTACTTGCGAACAATTCAACTTACGAACCCGCCCTATAGGGGAAATAAGGACTCAACATACGAACTTCCCTCGAGCCCCCAAACAGCAGAAAAAAGAGCAGGAAACAGCTAAATGCCCACACCAGAAGGGAGCCTGGCAGCCATTTTGTGCTTTTCCCCCCCTGCACCCTCCTCTCCCCGCCTATCAGCTGATCGGCTGGCTCTGAAGAGGCTTGGGGAGGCTTGCTCAGCACCTTAAAAGCCTGCCTGTGTGTCTTTGCGCTGAAAAAATCAGCACAACACGCTTTAAAACATGATTTAAAATTGGCTTCGTTGAAAAAAAAGATTTCTAAAGTGCTTTGCAAACTGTTCCCTGCCTTCCTCCTTGTTTCCTGAACCTAAGGGAAAAAATATGCCCCTCTAGTGGCAGAAGGCGGAATAGCAGCTTCCCATTAGTTTCTATGGACAGAAAAGAGCAGATACAGATTAACTGGTTTTCAATGCATTCCTATGGGAAATGCAGATTCGACCTACGAACCTTTCAACCTAAGAACCACCTTCCAGTACGGACTAAGTTCGTAAATCGAGACCCCACTGTATTGGGGAAGATTAAGGGGGGGGAAATGCAAGAAGATTGCCACTGAACATTAAGAAGGCAAAAAATCACTATAGAACATTGGGCATTGAAGAAATAAAGATAATTAAAGATTTTCTATATCTTGATTCATCAAAATGGAGAACTGCAGCCAAAAAAAGGGAGGAGGCTAAGACTGGTAAGACCAGCAATAAAGCAGAAAGAAAAGATCCTCAATTGTGTGGGCATTTCAACAAGAAACACAAAACAAAGCAAACGTGCAAGAAAGACTAATTTCTATATTTTAATAGACGCTTTCATGGAACATACCCACTTCATTAGACATATAAATTAGAATACAGACGACATGGCAATACATGAACGGATAGAAGTGTATGATTGCATTTCACACATAGTAATGATTTATGATCCCTGTTTGCTATTCAGTTCTGAAGCCTGGTTTTGTAAACAGCAACAACCCTAACCACAACATGTGGTTGAAAATGAGGTCTTTTGTCTCCCCCAGTGGGCAAGAGGTGTACCAGACATGTTAGAGACTATCTAATGCTGCAATTAATTTGAAGATTTATTTAAATTACAGCAGGTAAGCAAGAAGATCCACAAATGATGAAAATATATATATATATATAATCAATTTATAACACAATACAAGGATGAAATGAAAAGGGCAGGACAACCTGTATTAAAGTATCTGATGAAATTACAGTTATGAAAAATGAACCACAGTTAGCCCTTTATAAAACACTATATTTGCCCCTTAACCTACCACCATTGTAAAAACTGAAGCTATCTCAGAATCAAAATAAAGTAAGGCCCAAAGGTCCCAGAGCAGTCAAAATCTGTAAAAGTAAAAAATAAAAAATTACATGAAAAAAGTGAACTGAGAAGCTGCTCCACTGATGCCCCTAATTCAAAATGAACCACAGTTAACCCTTTATAAAACACTATATTTGCCCCTTAACCTACCACCATTGTAAAAACTGAAGCTATCTCAGAATCAAAATAAAGTAAGGCCCAAAGGTCCCAGAGCAGTCAAAATCTGTAAAAGTAAAAAATAAAAAATTACATGAAAAAAGTGAACTGAGAAGCTGCTCCACTGATGCCCCTAATTTTACTGCATTCTGGTTGGCTTCCTTACCTTCACCCCCAAATTCAGTTCTGTGTTGGTAGATGGCAAAAGCTAAGTGAAAAAGTGCATTGTGCCACCTTTTTAAATTCCAGAAAGTAAATCATCCATTCCTTTGCCCTGCGGTACACATTGTGACCGTAGCATCTCATCAGAGTACACTCTCGACCTGGAGCCACTGAAACTATCTAACCTTGTAATGTAGAGAATGACAGACTTTACCTTTGAGCCTTGTTCTGAAAAGGTAAGTCTGATTATTTGGGAAGAAAAATAACAGCAGATAACATAATAATTTCACTTGGTAATGAATTGAGAAACATTGATGATATTTAATTAGCTGTGTGCATGTACTACTGCAGACTAAAACCAAGATAATCCATACTATCATATTTGTCAATACTTTGTACATATGTGAAAGCTGGCCAGTAAAGAAAGCTGACAGGAAAATAATCTATTCAGTCAAAACCTGAAGTTAGAGGAAAGCTGAATGGATACCATAGACTGCCAGAAAGACAAATAAGTGGCTGAGATGAAATCATATGGAAAGCCAGGCTAGATTCAGATGAAGGAGGAGTGAAAATTAATGGGAGGGGGAATCAATAATTTAAGATATGCAGATGACATCATCTTACTGGCAGCAGGCAGCAATGACTTGATTTAGGCATCCTTCAGTCTCGAGAGACTATGGTAACGTGCTCTGTATGGAAGACTTGGAACAGCGTCTAGTGTGGCTGAGAAGGCCAATTTGAGAGTGACAATCCCTTCCATGCTGACGACAAAAGCGAAAAAAGAAAATGCCAAAGCAGGACTGCAGTTGAATGTTAAGATGACAAGCATCATGACTACAGAAGAACAACTTTAATGCTAATGAAAATTTTTAAATTGTTAGAAATTGTGTATAGCTTAGTTTAATCACCAATCCAAAGGGAGACTGCAGGCAAGAAATCAGATAAAGACAAGACTAGGAAGGGCAGCAATGAAGGAACTGGAGAAGGTCATCAGGTATAAAGATGTGTTATTGGATACCAAGACCAAGATCATCCACACTCATATTTCCAGTCACCACGTATGGGTGTGAAAGCTGGACAATTAAGAAAGCTGACAGAAAGAAATTTGATTTTTTTGAGATGTGGTGCTAGAGGAGAATTTTGCGAATACCCTAGGCTGCCAGAAAGACAAACTGGTCTTAGATCTTAGAAGCAAACATTTGAACTGAGGCTGCCCTACCTTGGGCACAACATGAGATGGCAGGATTATCTTGAAAAGAAAATAATAGTGGAAAAGTAGAAGGCAGGAGGAAAAGAGGAAAACCAAATATGAGATGGACCAACTCAAGAAACCATAGGCTTGAGTTTGCAACAGCTGAGCAGAGAAGGCAGTTGAGGATAGGTCCTTCTGGAGATTGCTCATTCACAGGGTTGCTGTAAATTCGAGATGATATGAGGGCACATAACAAGAACATTTGAGTTTGCAACAGCTGAGCAGAGAGGACAGTTGAGGACAGGTCCTTTTGGAGATTGCTCACTCACAGGATTGCTGTAAATTGGAGATGATATGAGGGCACATAACAAGAACAGCAGATTAAACCAAACATTAACTCTCTCTAGAATTTTCCCTAGAAATGACGGCTGGTTTACTGTGAACAAACTATGAGGTGACAAAACTCACTGAAAAAGCCAATAATGTTTGGGAAAGCTGGAGGCAATAGGTAAAGGAGACAGAACTGGTGACTGACAAAACAGAAGAAACCACAGCCTTTAGTTGGCAAGAGCTGAGCAGAAATGTTAAGGATAGGACCTTTTGGAGATCACTGATCCATAGGGTGATGGTAACTTGGAAGGGACTTGACTTCATGAAACAAGGTCCCAAGATCTGACCCTCACTGCACTGAATGAGGCATATTCTCAACTAAATGCACGCTGCAACAAAAGCTTAACAATCGTCTCTACTGTGCATCAGCTTCTGGGTGGGATACTGGCCAGACAGCGAAGTCAGGTTCAATTTTTAACTAGGGAAGGCCAGGAGAAAGGCCACTGCTTTTAAAGGTACCAGTGTTCCTAAAACCATTTTAACGAGCACCTATATTTCTTCCTGTACGTTGTGATGGGAACCTACGGGTTGCTGGGAACTGGGGCTCAAAGACACCTGTAGGTTTCCCAGCCCAGTGCTGTATGAATTGCCCTTTCAAAACAAAGCCGTCGACCCTTGTTTGAACAGTAATGCAAATTAGCAGTGCTCGTTCTCAACCTCTTCGTGTATTTTTTGAGGCAAGCAGCTTGGTCCTTTTTAGTATCTGTATGCTCACTGTTGTCAGCTTTAATATTGTATTTTAATGATGTAAGCCGCCTTGGATCCTTTTAAGGAGAAAGACGGGATAAAATTATTTTAAATTGAATAAATAAATAAGAAAGCATGCAAAGCTCGAAACTTACATGAGAAGAGGTGTTAATCACAGACCCCAAACCCAGTACGGGAGAAGAAGGATCGCCGGGGAAAACAACGGCCTTCCTCACACCACACCACCTACAACTCTCTGCCTCTGAGGCCTTGACTTTGCTAAGCCTACTGCTCTGAAGAACCCAGGGCGGTTTACAGTATTCCCTTTCCTTCGCTACGCAGGACAGATGGTCGGAAGCGAACTTTTTGCAAATAAAAGCCCAAAAAGGGGTGGTGGGGGGAAGGAGAGTGTTGGAAAACCCTTATTTTCATTGGTATCGTTCCTCAACTCGGCGCTGTTCCCGCCGCAACGAGCGCTGCTGGCTGGGGATGATGGGACTCGAAGTCCAACATGGCCGGAACGGCGCCGCGCTGAAGCTTGCCAGGATGTAACGAGGCGGGGAAAGAAGCGCTGCCTTTTATTCCTTTTAAACCAGATTTTCAAAAAACGAAAAACCGAACCCACCAAAACCCAGCGCGTCACCTACCTCAAGTTTTCCTCTTTCACGTATAGAGCTAGGACTTTCCCATTGCCTATGGTCAGCGCAATTCCTGTTTGGCCTCTTTTCCGACGTTGTTGTTTTTGTTGTTTAGTCCTTAAGTCGTGGAATTCCTGTTTGGCCTTTTTTCCGACGTTGTTTTTGTTGTTTAGTCTTTAAGTCGTGTCAACTAATCAACAAGATTTTGGCCATTCATGAGCTTAATAACACTCTGTTATTGTTTAGTTGTGTCCGACTCTACGTGACCCCATGGACCAGAGCACGCCAGGCCCTCATATGTCTTCCACTGCCTCCCGGATTTGCCTTTCCGGCCTTGGCATCAGTTAATTTCCTTTTTTTTCTGAGTCAAAACCGAACTAGAGGCGGGGGTTGGGGGGAAGAAACATCACTGAGGCGGAGATAGCAGCAGACGTCAGAAAGAGCCAGGGCAGTTTTCGTCCGCAGACAGCATTGCCTGTTGGGTCGTGCTCAGAAGGGCGCTTCCTCTCTCTCTCTCTCTCTCTCTCTAGTTGGGTCGTGCTCAGAAGAAGGGCGCTTCCTCTCTCTCTTTTTTTTCGCCATTTTTGACGCTGTTGTTAACGGGAGTATTCGGCAGCGGATGGGCTCCCTACCCCACCCGAGCGAGAAAAATACGAAAGCGGATTCACGTTCCCATGGGCGGGATTTTTTTAAAAATATATATATTTTGGACGAATCGCCCTGCAAGCGCTCCGAAAAAGAAACAAGATTAACGGGGCCGAAATCGGTTCCTGGCTTTACTTTAATGTATTTAAATATTATAATTTCTCTCTTACAAGGAGAACAAAAGCGGTGGTTTTAAAACCGGCGTGAAGCAAATTTCTCGGTGGCCATTTTAGTCTCCATGGCTGCAGAGAAGGGGGGGTGTCACCTCAAACATTAACTCGTGTGTGCCAAGCTTTTGCGGAAAACAGCATCAAGGATCCCGTTATCTGATGTCAACCAGAAGACTTGTGTATGTAGGTAATGAGAATTTTCTCCCGGAGATAAATATATCCCCATAATGAGTGAAAGGCTCCTTTTAGGCAAACTACCAAGATGATCGTCTTTCTTGACCCAATAGCACATAAGATAGCAGGAGCGCGCTTCTGGCGGATTGTAGCTGAGGGTGATCTGGACCCATGGAAAAGCTAGTGTGGGCACAGAGGGTGTGTAAGTATTTTGAGTGTTGGACCAGGACTTGGGCGATCCATGTTCTAGCTCACCTGAATCATTAACGCTGGATCACCTTGAGACAGACTCTTGAGTTACTGTACATCACAGGGTTGTAAAGAGGAAATAGAAGATGCATGTATATTGGATTGTGCTTATTTACAGGAAAGGCAGCAAATAATTACCCATATCTGCAGTTGTTAAAGGGCGATTTGGAAAGACACTCCCTTCTCAAAAGTCCTCCATATCTTTCTTGCCATGTCACAGTTGTCTGCTTACTTGTCTTCTTGTCACTCTCATAACACCCTGCACAAGCCAATCAATGGTAAAAGAAGGTGCTGTATTAATCTCCTTATTCATTTTCTTCTAGAGGAATGAAGGATGGGCAGAGAGAGCAAGAAAGCTGAGCTTTGGGCTTTGCAGTGGGGCTGCTTCCTAAGTATTGGGGACATCAGATGCTTGACAATCCAATTGTAGTTCTACCCCTTCAACCATTCAGTTCACTGCTCCAGGTTCCATATTCAACAGAGATCAAAATGAACCGTCTGAATAAGGGATTTCAGGAGCTATGCCCCTGCACTCCAGCATTAGTTTGGGGCTGCCCTCTCCTATTGCATCTCCGTGGCTGGGAACATCTTTTTGAAATATATTATCAGGCTTTCTGGCAAGTTAGAGGGCACGTTTCACTTTCAATGTGGCAAGTCTTACACTGCAATTGCAAGGCTGTCCCTAGGATGAAGACAATATTTTATATGATTAAGATCGGTCCAGGGATAAGCCAGAATTGTAGTTGCCAATACTCTACCCACTTAGTCTAAGCCAAGCAAGAACAGGAGAAAGCTGGGTTTAGGGTGGAGCAACTCAATTTATAAGAATATACAGATTTCAGAGTAGCAGCCTACCTGGATGATATTCTATAACCGAGTACAAGCAGATTTTCAGGCAATTCAACAGTTCCCATGACCATGTCTCCAAAGAAGACTGCTGCCTGTCTGTTAGCCCTGGATGACTTATAACCCCAGGAAGTAGATCACAGTGGCTGGTGTCAATAGGATATTTGTAAGAAATAGGGGTTGCAGCAGGGGTGACCTCAGGGGGGAGGGACTCAAGGGTACACAGTACAGTACTGGCAACTTTGAACGTGTTTATTTATTTTTGCTTACTTCCATTGATGCCAGGGGTAATGTATGTGTGACGCATAACTCTTGCTTGTTTTCCCCAAACAAGGGCTCGCGCTGTGTCTTCCCACCAGCAGATAACGATTGGGACGTTCCCCCTTTTTCTCACTGCCACCAGTGGATTTCCTTTATCCACAACGAATAAAGAACTTTATTCAGACACTCGGCAGATTGCTGCCAACAGAACTGATTTACTGAAAGGTGTTAACTTTAATCAGAATCACAGATGTTATTTATTCAAAGCATATAATCAAATCATTCAAATATCATATATCTTGCCACCTTCACCACCTGCTCTATGTATTTTGACAGCTTATCTTTATTATTTCTTCTCCTATCTCCTTGACTATCTCTCTCCACTTCTTTCTGCTTCTCTCTCTGCCTATTCTATTTCTCCCTGCCACCTTCTTATAGTCTACTGACTCCGCCCCTCCACTCCTCTCATAGGCTCATGCAAATGAGAACTAGACTGTGAGTGACAGGAGTGACGTGGGGCAGCTGTCACAGTATGCAAATGAGTTATGCTAATAAGAGTACAGTGTGCCTCGCTTAGCGATCGCTCCGTTAAGTGACGAAATCGCTTAGCGACGGAGTTTAAGCGATTGCAAAAGTGATCGCTTAGCAATGGTCCCTATGAGGAAAATTCACTTTGCGATGATTGCGGGGAAGCGATCATCGCAAAGCCCCCATTTTCAGCCAGCGGATCGGCGGCTTCAAAATGGCTGCCGGGTAAACAAAATGGCCACCCGCTATGTGTCCTTGCTTTAGAGGCACCGAAATGGCCGCCCCTATGGAGGATTTTCGCTTAAGGTTAGTTTTTAATCCCATAGGAATGCATTAATGGCGTTTTAATGCATTTCTATGGGCTTTTTAATTCTGTTTAGCGATGAAATCACTTAGCAACATTTGTTACTGCACGGATTGATGTTGCTAAGCGAGGCACCACTGTAATCTCTTTTTAATTTTTTACTTTTATCTTTCATTTGAGTTATTTAAATTGACATTAACTGGTCAGTTGTCAGGGGTACTTTTACATTTATCTTTAAAATTTTAAATATAAATTTTCAGTTGCATTTTTTCCCAATAAACTTAGTCTATAAAACTGCCTCTCTCAGGTCAGTTCTGCGACCCTCTGAGTTCAGTTTTGCACCCCTCTCAGGTCTGTGCTCTAGGCAGTTGCCTAATTCACCTAGTGGTAGCTCTCACCCTGTCTCCAGGCCATATGTAGAAATAAGGAACTGGTGAATCACAGGTCAAAATAAGCTTGTGCTACCTGAAATGATGTCCCTACACTACGGTATTTGCATAGAAAACAATATTCTGCCACACATCAATAAGTAACAGCCAGAACTTGGAAATGTAACTTAAGTTCTGGTGCCAAAACAGTGTTATGTCACTCAGGTTTGCCAAAATGAAAGATACTTTCCAACCCTATGATTTTTTTTTTACTTTAAGGTTTCTGTATACTGTATAGAAGTATTAATGCAAGTGCTCTTAGGAAAAGACCGTTAAAACTTTGTTAAGGTCCTTTGTCACGTCTTGAGAAAAAATATGTGACGGTCAGCAACATTCAGCATATATTTCAACTGGAGGTCAAATGCCCTAAAGAGGAATACATCAACAGGAAATCTGCTGAAAAGTGGCTTTTATAAACTGTGGCGATGGCTTTTATAAACTGAGAGGTGGTATAGCCTGATGAAGACCTGGGCAAAGTGCGGCCTGCGGGCCACATATGGCCCGCGAGCCGCTCCTGCCCGNCAACGCTGCTCCTGTCTTGCCTTCCCATCGCTGCTGAGTGAGCCAGAGCTCCGGCTCTGGTCACCCGCATGGCAGTAAGCAAAACTCGTGAGATCCGACGCTGGGATCTAGTGAGTTTGACTGTTACTCTTGAGCCGTAGGCTGCGGAGCCTGCACCTCAAGAGGCCAGAAGTGATTCTTGCGCAGGCAACATGATGATGCGTCACATTGCCTGTGCGGGATAGAACACAGTCCGAGAGGAAGCCCGCAGGGAAACAGATGACAGATGAGTTAGCTCAGTGTTGGGCTTTTTTCGCCTGCAGTGAATGAATTACAACGCTCACATAGGTAACTCCCTAAAAAGTAGTTCATTCACTGCAGGGCCTGACCCAATGGGTTTCATTTTATTTTTAAGTAAAGTTGGTTTGGTCCCTGAACACAGTTCAGATTTTTCATGTGGCTCCCTATAGAAATTAATTGCCCACCCCTAGCCTAGTGGGTAGACGTTGCCAGCAGGGCTGGGGGATCAAAATCCTGCTGTGCCTCCCAGAAAAGATACCAACCATGATAATCTGGAATTTATATAGCTCATGGGGTTTCATGCCCTCCCATCTGTGTAGCCTTAGGCAAGTTGTATGGCTCCTGATCCCCACAAGGAGGTACTGACTACCTCTGAGTAACTTATAACTGAGAGGGTTGCTGTAGATTAGAACTGAAACTGATACCTTGTTTCCCTGAAAATAAGCCCTAGTATGATTTTTCAGGATGCTCGTAATATAAGCCCTACCCCCAAAATAAGCCCCAGTTAAGTGAAACTCCACCCTCTACCATTGCGCAGCAACCAGAAGAAGACGACCTGACTATCTGAATCAATGTAGATTGTTGTATATGAAAAAAACAAAGCATCCCTGAAAATAATCCCTAATGCAAAAATTAATATAAGACCCTGTCTTATTTTCAAGGAAACACGGTAGTACAGTTATTATTAATTATAAACCAGGCCCTCATAAACTAGAAGTACAGTGGACCCTTGACTTACAGATGGCTTGACTTACAGACTTTTTGAGTTACAGACTTCTCTGGCCGCAAAATTTAGGTTTGACTTGCAGACTGAGATTTGACTTACAGACCAGAAAAAAACCAAAATGGAACAAAAATGGCCTGTTACGGGATTAATCGGTTTTCAATGCACTGTAGGTCAATGGAGACTTGACTTACAGACTTTTTGACTCGAGAACCGCCTTCCAATACGGATTAAGTTCTCAAGTCAAGACCCCACTGTAATATCTTGACCTTGGATAAGTAGCTAATCAGCAGCCAGCGCACATTGTTTAGGACAGGAGTTATATGTGTACACTAGAGGTACCTCTATGCAATGCAGCCACAGTATTGTTTTGTGCATTACTGGCAGCTTCCAGATAAACCGTTGGAGTGACCCCCCCATAAACTGCATTACAGTCTTCCAGTGGAATGACTGTGTCACTCTTCAGCTCCCTTCTGGTATCACAAGTCCCCAGTTCCTTGTTCATTTATACTGTATATGCAACCAACCTGGTTTATAATAAATAGCTCAGTGTTTAGGTTACCAACACATGAATCACTATGGATTAACTATCCTTTTCCAGACTGGCTGTATATATACAGTGTATCACAGAAGTGAGTACACCCCCTCACATTTCATAAACTTTTGTAGCCAGTGGTTTAGACATTAATGGCTGTGTGTTATTTTGAGGGGACAGCACATTTACACAGTTATACAAGCTGTATACTCACTGATTTACATTGTAGCCAAATGTCATTTCTTCAGTGTTGTCACATGAAAGGATATACTAAAATATTTATGAAATGTGAGGGGGGTATACTCACTTCTGTAATATACTGTGTATTATTTTTTAGATGGATTGTTATTGCTGACTGGATTTTTAGTACTATTTGTGTTCTCCATTTTTGTCTTTTTCATTTCCCAGAATAGCATTAAAACAAAGTATAGTTATTGTTCTTAGCTTTAATATTTCCTTTTAATGAGTAAGATGCCCCTTTACTCATTGTTCTTAGCACTCATTGTTCTTAGCACTCATGGTTTTCTTATCTTTTAATGATGTTAACCACCACTGTGTACTCATGGTTTTCAACTTCAAATATTGTCTTTCAATGTTGCAAGCCAATTTCAGTCTTTCAAGGAAAAAGGGTGGGGTAAAATATTTTAAATAAATAATAAATAATGGTATAGTGACGTTCGTTACAAAGGTTGCAGTACAGTACATTTATTTAATGTTAAGATGTTGGCTTGGCAGGTTGCCTGAGGCTATAGAATACTCTGGGAGCTGGAGTGATCCCTGCCCACTACCCCAGTTTTTGGCTCCTTATCTGTCTGTTTCCTGTTTAGTGAAACATTTCCAGTTCCCTGTTTGGATCCAATTTTTTAGAATTCCTATTACATTGGGAAATTAGGTTTCCCTATTTAACTCCTTTAAATTCTTCTTTGTTGAAGAGTTTCTATGAGTCATTTTCTGGGAAAACCCAAAACCCTGCCCCAGAGAGGAAGAAATCATCAGAGGGCCTAACTGCATCATTATATCAGTAATGTGATTAACAATCATATTCTAGGTTTTTACATGTAAAAAACCATGGCATGGTATAAAAGGTGATCAACACTATCTCACGGGAAGATGCAGTTTAAGTTTTCCCTTCCCAAACACAATCTTTGTAAAACCTGCATATACAAATATATGACTTTGCATATATATTATTCACTCTGCTCATAAATACCTAGCTGTAGGAAATCTAGGAGTACAATATGGGCTCTCAGAGCAGGATAGTGCAATATGCCATTTGGTGTGATCCTTGCATCCAAATGGCATTTCGGACCATACTGTTCCTCAACAATCACCTGGCAGATATGCTTTGATTGTGTTCTTGCATTGAACAGGGGGTTGGACTTGGTGACCTTGTAGGCCCCTTCCAACTTCACTTTTCTATGATTCTATGATCTAAAACAACACTATGAAACAATAAAACCTGAATCGCTGGACTTCAGTTAAAAACAGCTAAGTATTTAAAACAGAAGAAACAACAGAAGAAACAAAAATCCTTTTTTGTTAAATGGGTAAATATCACAGGACTGCCTGGGATGGGGGAGTGTTTTTCTGCCAGCAGAAAGACAACAGGAAGGAACAGCATTGGCTGGAACCCTGTGCACACATACATGGCCCTGCCCAGCACTGGCAGAAAATTAGAGGGAATTTTGCAACAAACAAATACTGTGTTTTCCCTGAAAATAAGACAGGGTCTTATATTAAATTTTGCTCCAAAAAACACAGTAGGGCTTATTTTCAGGGGATGTTTTATTTTTTTCCCATGTACAACAATCTACGACAAATTGACGACAACAACAACAATCTACATTTATTCAAATACAGGCATGTTATCTTCTGGTTGCTGCACAATGGTGGAGGGTGGGGTTTCGCTTAACTAGAGTTTATTTTGGGGGTAGGGCTTATGTTACAAGTGTCCTGAAAAATCATACTAGGCCTTATTTTCAGGTTAGGTCTTATTTTCGGGAAAGCAGGGTAGGATAGGAACCAAATGGTAATCAGGAAAAGTTTCATAAAGTCAGTCAAATCATTACTGATGTTCTAGATGTAGGAGCATGAGCCAAACCTACGAATGTCAGTCAGGGTTTTGCAAAGAATAGTGCATTCCAAAAACCACACAGCCTTTTGAATAGTCAGTTATGTATCTGACAACATATATTCCAAGAGTTCAAGAATAAAGTCTTTGTATTCACAGAAACTGACCAACCTTTGGTTTCTATGACTGTACACTGTGCAATTAAACTCCACCCTCAAACCAGGAAGTGAAGGTTACATTTTAATAGCATTCTGTTTGCATACTGCAACAATGATAAAGTCACAGAACAAATCCATTTGTACGCCTATCCTGGATACATAGCATCAACCTAGTATTCTGTGTCGTTATTTGTCATTATTTCTCTGAGATGCACAGAAAATAGATCTCTGCAAAAACAGAGAAACAGCTTAATAAAATTACCTCAAAAGGAGAAGAAACAACAAAGTCCTCTGGACAGAATGGGCCTCGTACATTCTAAAAAGCTTAAACAAGCCCACATTCTAATGCTAGGGCTTGATTTGGCAGGGAAATCCTCTATCTTGTACAAGCTCAAATTTAATGATTTCTTCGTAACATCACCGACAATAGGTTTCAATGTGGAGATGATTGAGGCCGGAGCAAACATTGCTTTAACAATTTGGGATGTTGGAGGCCAACACAAAATGAGAACTGTTTGGGAGAACTATCTGGAAAATATAGATACCCTGGTATATGTTGTGGATAGTACTGACAAGCAGCGCTTGGAAGAAGCCAAGAGAGGGCTGGAGCTTATTTTGAGGAATGACCAGGTTAAAAATGTGCCTGTAGTTGTACTGGCAAACAAGCAGGATCTTCCTGGAGCTGTGGGGGCTGAGGAAATCACCAAGAGGCTCAACGTGAAGAAGCTCTGTCATGACCGAAACTGGTACGTACAGCCTTGTTGTGCACTAACGGGGGATGGCCTTTCAGAAGGATTCCAGAAAGTGGCATCATTTGCAAAATCCTGCATGAAATCTAAACAAGAAGCTTTTGCTATTTTCAAGCAAGATTAACATGATCAGATCTGGTCAAGGCAGAAAACTATGAGTATTCTTCTGGGACAGAAATCAGTCTGTTAATTTAATATCTGATACATGTTTTTCAGACTTTAATAAGAAAGAACAAAGCAGATAACTGTTCTCATTCTTCTGCATTTTCTCTTAAATGCTTGCCAAGATATTTTTGCTTTTCACTTTTACAAATGTAACCAAACAATTGTACATTCTAAGTTTCAGTGTTTATGAAACTGCTTCAGGAATGGGATTAGAAAGCCACTAAATTGTTAAATACCTGCCACCTGTTTCACACTGTACAATGTGCTAAAAAAAGTATTACTGCCAAAGAAAATTGGTGGTTTCAAATGCAGTAATATTAGTCGGGTGTGTGTGTACAAAGCCACTGAAATTTATTTAGCCTTACATTTCAGGTAGCACATTGTCCTATATGTTTGGCATCCTTCAGTCTCGAGAGACTATGGTAACGTGGTCTGTATGGAGGACTTGGAACACCATTTAGTGTGGCTGAGAAGGCCAATTTGAGAGTGATAATCCCTTCCACAATGAGGACAAATACAATCTGTCCCCTGTCCAGTTCCCTGATTTTGCTGCTCCCGGGACTGCCTCTTTGCCTCGGCCTGCTGGACAAGGGTCTCTTCAAATTGGGAGAGGCCGTGATGTACCACCTGCCTCCAGGCTGAACGCTCCGATGTCAAGGTTTCCCATCTGTTGAGGCCCATTCCTAAGGCCTTCAGATCCCGCTTGCAGATATCCTTGCATCACAGCTGTGGTCTCCCTCTGGGGCAATTTCCCTGCACTAATTCTCCATATAGATCTTTTGGAATCCGACCATCAGCCATTCTCACAACATGCTCAAGCCAATATAGATGTCGCTGTTTCGGTTACGTAGACATGCTAAAAATTCCAGCTCGTTCTAGGACTACTCTATTGGGAACTTTGTCATGCCAGGTGATACCAAAAATGCATCGGAGACAACGCATATGGAACGTGTTCAGCTTCCTCTCCTGCCGTGCACAAAGAGTCCAGGACTCACTGCAGTACAGGAGTGTGCTCAGTGTCCTATATCAAGATAGTAAAAAGGTGTGCAACATTAGCGTATCTGAATGTATGTCTGAAATTTACTACAATGCTCTCTGTATGGGGCTACCCTTGAAGGTAATATGGAAGATGCAACAGTTATAAAATGTGGTGACAAGGCTGGTTTCAGGTGCCTTGAGATATGATCATATGCATTGCGTTGAGACTTGCCTGCATTGGTTGCCTGTATGCTTCCGTGCCAAATTCAAGGTTAATGTTGATATGTAAGGTCGTTAATGATTTGAGACCTCATTACTTGTTAGACAGCATCTCCCTAAGATTGTCCGCCTGTGTCACCCATTCATACCAAGCTCTGATGCTGCAGGTGGCCACGCCAAAGGAGGCCCAGAAATCTGCAACTAGGAAGCAGGCCTTGTCAGTGGTGGCAACGACACTGCAGAATACCCTACTTGTGGAGGTGTGTCAGGCCCCTTCTTTCCTAGCTATCCAAAAATTAGTAAAAAAACCCAGAGCTTTTCAGAGAGATGTTTTGAAATATTCACTACCCATGATTGTTATGTCATGTGTTTAATTTTTGTTATTTGTTTTGTTATTTGTTGCCACTGGGGGGGGTTGCTTTTGGGATTGTCTTCTCTGATGGATGTTTTTATGTTTGCAAAGCACTGAGAATAGTGGCTTGACACTAGATGAGAAGTAAACAAAGAAACACAAATGGTTTGAATCGTAGTTAAAATGTGTAACATAATATTTGCAAAAGTTCTCTTGAGATGTATATTGTTTTCTTTAAAGTAAGAAATATTTTTAGCTATTTACCCACAAATTTATCAAAAGCAAGCTAAAATAACTATTTATACTATTTCTGGAGTTTCTGGGATCTCTTTGGTATATTAGAATGTCCCTCCTAAACAGTCCTCCTTTAATTTTGAAAATATTAAAATACAGTGGTGCCTCAAATAACGATGTTAATGTGTTCTGCAAAAAACATCGCTATTTGATTTCATCGCTATTCAAAACGTGGTTTCCCACTGAAATGCATTGAAAGCCGGCTAATCCGTTCCAATAGGAACGAATTGCCGTCGCTATTCAAAAATCTCCATGGGAAATATCGCGGCTCCCCCATTGAAATGCATTGAAACCTATTCAATGCATCTCAATGGGGGGGAAATGAACAATAAATTAAAGACAACTCAGAACAAAGCCAGCCAGGGAGCGAGGAAGGAGGAGGAAGCCAGCCAGCCCAGAAGGAGCATCGTGGCCGCCCGCCCTTCCCTGCCTGCCGGGGGGCGCCCGGCAGG